GTCACTCGACAGGCTGCTATCGTCTGAACCCGACTCATACAGAGCCGTTCGAGCCCTCCTATCCACAATCTTCAAGAACCCCCTTCAAAAAGACGAAAATCGGTGGAGGCAAATATCTCACCCTCATCTGCGGCTCACGCTGACCTCCCATATTTTACGTCGTAACTTGTCCGGATCGGAGCAGGTAAAGGGGTGCGTTTAAAGTGACTGCAGAGGAAGTAAGTAACCTCGATGAATGTGCAATCGCGATGGATGAACGTGTTCTAACTTGTTCTTCGGTTCATGGGGAGGCTATATCGGAATTTAGATTGAGAATGTTACCAGGTGGACCCACGACGATGTTCTCGACAAGGCGAAATCGGTCCGCCACGATGTTACAGGCAAGGTCACGAGGACCGTCATCCGAGGGAAGAATGCCTTTCACTGTTCAGTATCGGAGCACGTTCGTCGTTTGGTGCATGATATGTAACCCACTCAAAACCCACCGGTCGACTCGGACTCATCTGGCTAGGGCATAGGGCATAGGCTTGTTTGTGATGCCTTCGGCGCAGGGACGACTTCTTCAAGTCTTAAAGTCACATCCGAGTGCTGAAGCTGAAGCCAATTGAAGGTGAGATCGAAAGTGGACTTGACCGCCAGACGTTGGCCCGAAGCGAACAGAAATTAGTCACGTGATATCTAAAAAGAGTTCTCTAAGAAGGTGGAGGGTTGGGGTATAATAAGTACTGTAACATGAGGAAAACTAGTGATTGGTCGATACATATGATACGACTACTGGTAAGTAAGCCTCTTTTGTTATGCGGCGCCGGCTTGCTCAGAATTCCAGCTTCAGTCTCAGGCGCCTATTGGCATAAATCGGCACTGAGGGCGAAACCCACCTTCACCGCATGCCCGAATGATTTATAATCTTCGCCACGAGCTTGACCATCAGGCGTATCGACAACACCAAATCGTGTAGAGCCGCAAAAACGCTATAAGGAAGAGATATTGTTGGTGTATAGCGGTATGTAGCCCCACAAGAGGTCCGTAGGGCGCTCTCGTGCTGATCTGTATGCCCTGAATTTCAAGACATAATCACAAAATATCACGATGCGTACAGTTCTGCGCTATCGCTGCGTCCGAAAAAACACGTCAGAGCTCTCCCGACTGAGCTTCTGCTCATCATCTTAAGATCGCGTACCAGTAGTATTGTGACCCGGCGCCGTGGCGGCTGGCATGCCCTAGGTATACGAATCCTAACGGAGTACCGCCAACATGTTGTGCCCCGCACTTTTTCCTTTCGCCGTCGCGTCTGTCTGCTGTCCCTGGCAAGGGGTCATGTCCACGGTCCAAGTAGGCTGTTGGACGCGGTTCGTTATTCTAATCGATCCCCAGCCCACTCCACTTCCCCTTGTGAATTCATATTTGGGGTGGTTTCAGGACCTTCCTCTCGACATCTTCATGACGAGGCATCGTACTGACCCAGACAAGAATGATTTTCACGAAAAAGCTCGCGTCGATGCTGTCTTGCAGTTTCTCCTTTCCCTCATCGACTCACGAGCCTTTGTTTCAATGTCAAGCGTTGATCTCCACTACCTTCCCTCAGATGAACGCTTCGCGGGGACGCTCTCAACCTCCAGACATTGAAGTTCAATTGCGAATTCAGCGACAATGTGGACATTGGCGGGGATGCTGACTCGGGGTGGTTGTTTCCGCCCCGATATTAAAGAAACTCATTCTTGATGGAAGTGACCTCCGTAACGCATGCGCTGGTGGCTCGACCTGAGCTAATGCAGATTTCAAGCACTCCCCATTTCACACTACACCCACCGCGAAACTGGGCAGGCACTGTCGAGAAATACCCCAGCTTCGATGGTGGGCTCCTCGCCACCGTGACTAATGGTGGTCTGAACAATCAAGAGTTCACGTATCAGGCGCTCGTGTACTTCGAAATTGCCGACTGTTGCGTTTCTCCTGCTGCTTTGAAGCATATGGTGGAGGCACGCAGCGAGGTATCAAAGAAAGAAAACCAGTGGGAACTCATCGAGAACTTTGATTTGATGACCTACGTGACCGTCGCCCCTACTGCCAGTCTCTCCGTTTGCGGAAGGGGCCCGTTATCCCAAGAGGGTAGGTGGTGGTTCCATGATTAATTTTCCTGAGCTCACCATCGCGGGGATGATACCCTGATGCCGATATCAGTAGGTTTGACCACAATCACAGAGTCAGAGCTCGCGGATTTATCCGCAAGTTCCCGCGTTCACCACAGGCGATCGAGGGAAATAGAGCACGGTGACAGGCTGCACATGCGACGCAGGAAGAGCGGGCCAGGATTTCGATGGGGGAGATTCTGAGTCAATTCACCGACCCTACATCCCCATCTAAAATACCTCGTAACGTTGCATGGCGACCGCGGAGCTCAACACTACCAGTGGAGATAGGTTGAAAAGCTCCGTCGTATTCGGGTGCATGGATCTACAGAGGCGACAGGAAATTGTTGAGGACGATTATTGCTGGTTCGACAACGACGCGGCCACCACCACGGACGACTCCGATAACGTCATTGGATTACCTTCTTCAACGGCACTGCCAATAGCTCCCGAGAGAACTCGCCCCTTGGTCTGATGGTGATCGACAGTCCCAACAACCAGTCGGCATCCTCCGTTGCTCCTCATTCGGGCTGGCAACTCGTCTCCTGCAACGGTTTTACCACTGAGCAATTGGTATGCGTTACATTGCATTTGAGTTCGCCCAGCTTTTGACAACGCCTAGTCAGATCCTAGCTTATTGTTCAAAGGCGATTGATGACCCGACTTCCGGCTGTTCTTACGTGTTCGTTGGTCAGGCTGGGCACACTATCGTGCAGGTGCCCTACGGTTGTGACAACAGCCATTACGCACGCATCAAGAGCCTGAAAGTACGCCTTCACCTTGCCTCGCGCAGTGCGCATATTGAGGATAAGCCCGCGTCAGAGCCCGTGTGTGGGCTAGACCTGGGCTACGACTTTGATGCGATTGTGAGTCCGTGGCTTTTATGAGCGACGTTCGTATCCATGTGCTGTTTTCCAGCCGGACGATAACGGGCCCATCAACATGCAGGTAAGAAGTGGTGCGCTGTGTTGCTTGTCAGTCCTCGATGCTATTATGATGAGGTGGATGCCTCTAACATGTCTGAATACTGGTAAGGGTAAACCATTTACGAAATCGATGCTATCTCTTACCGCCGTACAGGGACACTGTCGTAGAGACCCCTCCGGAAGGCAAGCGTTGATGGCAAGCGCGCGAAATTAGACATTGTGACCTAAAGCAACCAAATGAGGACATTATTCCAATCCTCACTGGTCTCGCCGCGTGGGTTTGCGCCTCCAACATGGCAGCGCTAAGGATACAGCACATATATAATTATATCAAGTTCAGCGTCGACAATTCTATCTCCCTTGGAAAAGCAGCCATCAAGCCTCCGCCGTCGGTCCAGGCGGCTTAAATATATCTCTGTAGGTTAGACAAGCGCTCTCCATTAACATGGTCTAATATTACTTAGCATCAAATTCTCTGACCACACTGAAAATCAAAAATCTCGGGGAAAGCGCACGCAAAATTTGAGTCTGCAAAAATGACCCTTTGGAGAGGCTGGAATTCCTGGTCGGTGCCTACTATCCTTGCTTCACGACATTCTCAGCCGACGCATTGTCGTGTCGCAGGTCCTGATTATCCGCCCCCGATCACGTATGATCTGAATTTGTCCATTATACTAACGGTGATGGTAATCGGATGGACAGCATCGGGCCCTCGCCTCTCGTCCACGTCTACGTTGCGGAGAAACTCGAGCTCAAAGGGTTGGTGTCTCATTCGGTAGGGAAATTTCTTTGACCGCCTCTTAGATCTTTCGAGACGACCTTCGAGAATGACCTGCCCCTCGTGAGTGCATTGTTTCTTCGACCCGTATTTGGCCGCCCTGACGATGCACGATCTAGGCGGACTTTACCTTCGGCGCCTCCAGATGGGCATTTCGGTTCTCGGTGGCAAACTTGTTGATGCTCAGGTGAGCTTTCTTCCGGTGTTCACACTTTCAGCAGCTCTCTGATTTGCTTTGGTTGACGATTAGGCCTATATCGGCGCTGGCCGGTCGTCCCCTGATTCCTCCTCTAAATACTTCTCGTTGACGTGATTTGGTTAGACGTGTCTGGTGGAATTGAGGCCCCGGCATTGGCTCAAATGGTCCTGGACCTGTCTGCATCAAACCATACATTGGCATAGCCCTGTAAGCATCATTACATTCTTTGGGAATGGAGCTTGAATGCTCACATGATTTGTAACTTAGCGACAGAGGTTTGACCGGAGAGCGAGTGAGTATCCGGGGGCGCCTCGGTCTTCGGGCTAACTCCCGCTAGGCCCGTCCTTCGGGAGGAAAAGGGGCAGAGCTGGCCCACCTGGTTGGACAAGTTCTACGTTCCGAAGGACGGTTTCAACAGTGCGCCAAGAACTCCCTCAGGGCTAACATGCTAAACATTTCACCAGCGATGACCACGAGTCCTGGGCAATGGAGGACAACGTCCACTCCGTCCCAATTTCCTCCGGAACTATTTGCCCAAATCTTGTCTTTTGAAATAGTCCAGTGGGAAGATGTCTTCCTTGTAGCCGATTCTCCGAAGTTCTGATTATTGTAGTGCATAGCATCGTGGGGTGACTATTGCCACGTTGAAGGACTATACTTCCTTGACACCAAAATCCTTTCATGAACTCGTTGGTATTTTTTTGGAGCTATCTTCTCTACAAAAGCGCTTGCGCTGTGCTTTTGTCAGTTACGAGGGTCCCTTCCCCTTCCACTCCTGTCTCCCACTTTCGTTCCAGACCGTCCTTTTTTCCCTTGCGTTCTCTGAATCACTCATTGTTCACCATTTGTCCGATTGTTTGTTCTTGCGCATATTTTTGACCACGCCCCCGCGACCAGGTTTAACTTCGCCTGAAAGCAGAACCCTCGACCAAGGTCATTGTATACATTCATGACGGTAGGAGAAGCACGCCCCCGTTGTCTAATGGTTATGACGTCAGACTTCTACCACTTGGCGATCTGGAGGTTGCGGGTTCGAGTCCCGCCGGGGGTTCGTAGACTTTTGATTTTGATGTCTTGGTTTGTTCACACACCTTTTTTACAGTAACGTAGCTGTAGCATTTGAATGTGCCTTATCACGAATGCCCTGAAGTCTGAAGATGCCATCTGATCTGAAATAGCTAATGCGGTGTGTATGTGCATTTTACCATCAGGCTGCGCTGCCCGCAATGATCATGGAGTAAGCATTGAACCGTACATGAGTCCTAGCTGAGGGTAGCCTGGAATATGTATTCTGACCGCGATGCCGCGGCGCTATCACTTATTACTTCGATCGGCAACACTTTCTGCAGGCCGACAGTTTGCGCCTTCTCTCCATTTACTGCTTACGGAACCTTCTCAAGGCTTCCATGTCAGTCCTTTATATCGCATCCTGACGATCTCGTAATTTTCTCTTGTACCGAGCAGCGAGAAGTTAGAATCTTCTGCTGCTTATCATCGAGTTTGAGAGCTGGTTCTATGGCTGCCCAGGGCGTTCCTGGGCTGAGTCGTTTGCCACTCCGCCAGATGATTCCGCTGAAACAATGCGCGGAAGCTTTGGTGGACAAAGCCCGCGAATATGAACCATTTTCCCACGCGGAAGCAGCAGCACACGATAACTCTGTGCTCAATTTCAATGCCCGCTCCCACACATCCAAGGAGTGGAAGTCCTTACAAGGCTTGACATCTTTCACTCACAATAGCACTCACAGGTTCACGATAACAAAAATTATCGCAATAATTTGGCCAGGCAATGCAGCCCAGTCCGCCACCGTCATCGTCGCGGGGAACCCCTTCTCGAAGAGGAAGGTCTCCGCGAACTCCAGGGCAAGGCGCTTCTCATACTGTTGGCGCTCTTCCGACCGAATTTTCCAACAAACAGCCCGCCACATTCACGTCTTGCCTCTCAATACCGGTCGAAGGCGCGATTCCAATCATTGCCGAGGAGGAGTCCTCAGTTTCTCTTCAGCCCGGAACTTCCCAACAGGCAGCCACAAATGCTCCAAAACGCGCTCCTCGCAAATCGAAGACCCATGCTCTGGCTGCCCTTCAAAGTCATGCCTCCTCACTCGATAGCGATGACGTCGGCGCGCAGGACCTCGCTGATGATTTTTTGGGCGATAGAAGTCCAATCCCTGTTTCCCCCGTGCTTGACTTGTCGTCTGTGAAGACATCCAGTCCCAGGAACGTGCAGGCAAACTCGGCGCCTCGCCCCTTCGGGCTGGAAGATTGCCCTATTTTCTGTCCTACAATGGATGAGTTCAAAGATCCCATGGCATACATCCGCTCCATATCAGACAAAGCACGAAATCACGGAATTTGCAAGGTTATTCCGCCCGTTGGGTGGAAAATGCCTTTTGTTACCGATACTGAGGTGAGTCCGCTCTGTTCAAATGCCACACGGTTTTTTTCCACGAAATTTTGACGGTCGATCTGACCACACTTTCCTTCATTTCCGTCAGGCGTTTCGTTTCAAGACTCGCTTGCAGCGGCTCAACTCCATCGAGGCGTCATCTCGCGCTAAAGTGAACTTCTTGGAGCAACTTTATCGGTTCCACAAACAGCAAGGCAATCCACGTGTATCTGTGCCCACTATTAATCACAAGCCGCTCGATCTGTGGCTTCTACGCAAGGAAGTCCAGAAGCTCGGGGGATACGATGCGGTAAGTGGGCCCTCCTTGGATCGCTGTATCGTCGACCAACATTTCCGAAGGTTACAAAGAGCAAGAAGTGGTCTGATCTTGGGGCGCTGCTCGGGTACCGTGGCATCCCGGGCCTATCTACGCAGATCAAGAACTCGTATACGCGAGTTATCCTGCCTTATGAACATTTCTGCGATCGCGTGCGGAATTCGCCCACATTGTCTATGTCACCTGGAGTTTCGCGGGATCCTCAGCTTAAGACCCACATCGATATACAAACAGCTCCTAGTATGGGTCTAGGAGCACTCCGCCACGACAGTTCGAGTGTCCCATCCAGTCCTCTCACCACCTCCTCCAGCCCCCTATCGGAACCGCCCGACGACAGCGATTACAAAACGCCCAACGGGAGCCGATCGGAGAGCTTCAAGCCCCGCCGCACTACGAGAACATCGCCTCACACGACTCGTCAGTATATATGCTACAACATTTATTACTTTTTAATTTATTCCTTGGTTTTAGCAACCCGCAATAATTCAGAGACCAATACACTATTGCCATCGCCTGTTATTCCGTCTCCCGTATTCCATGACCATAAGAAGGACAGCAAACTCACCCAGGAGGTAGGCATGTTGAACTTAGTAGCACGGCGAGCCATGATTCACGCCCAAATAGCAGTCTTGTGAAATTTGTCAGAAGAAGAATCGTGGTGAAGAAATGCTCCTCTGCGACGGTTGTGATTGCGGTAAGTGATTTGTCTTTGTCATGTCCTTCCATGTCGTCTCAAGTCCCGCCTACAGGTTTCCACATGTTTTGTCTCGACCCGCCGCTAGCAACCATCCCCAAAGGCCAATGGTTCTGCCACACATGTCTTTTCGGCACGGGCGGAGATTTCGGGTTCGATGAAGGGGAAGAACACAGTCTGTCGAGCTTCCAGGCTCGAGATCTTGAATTCCGGCGCATGTGGTGGAATGCGCATGCCCCCTCGCCGTCTTCCACCACCACTGAGGATGATCCTACTGTTAACCTCATAGGCGACAAGTTGGTGTCCGAATATGATGTGGAGAACGAATTTTGGCGCTTGGTGCAGTCCCCACATGAGACGGTTGAGATTGAATACGGCGCGGACGTACATTCAACTACTCATGGGAGGTAAGCAATGCGAGCTTGCCGTTATTTTCTGTCCGCTGATTCACCGGGATTGCGTCTGTTAGTGCTATGCCCACTATGGAGACTCATCCGCTGGACCCGGCGTCGAAGGACCCATGGAACTTGAACAACATGCCTATTGTTTCCGACTCGCTTCTGAGGTACATCAAGTCTGATATTTCTGGAATGACCGTTCCATGGACGTATGTCGGCATGGTCTTCTCCACTTTTTGCTGGCACAACGAAGTAAGCGTCTTCCTCTCTACTGCACGATTTGCATTAATGTATTTTCCGCGATAGGACCATTATACTTACAGCATCAACTTTAGTGCGCCATTTTGAGTTTATTATCTAAACTTGGATTTATCTGTCTTCGTTCTAGTGCATTGGGGCGAAACGAAGACATGGTACGGCATCCCGGGTGAAGATGCTGAGAAATTTGAGGCCGCTATCAAGAGCGAGGCTCCAGACCTTTTCGAGGCTCAGCCAGATCTCCTATTCCAGCTCGTGACGTTGATGAACCCCAAGCGTCTCACGGACGCGGGCGTCCGCGTGTTTGCGTGCAATCAACGAGCTGGTGAATTTGTCATCACATTTCCCAAAGCTTATCACGCTGGCTTCAACCACGGGGTGTGTGGCTCGCCCTTGTGTTTCATTTGCGGGGGATTAACTCTGTTTGCAGTTCAACTTCAACGAGGCGGTTAATTTCGCGCTTCCGGACTGGCTGCCTTACGGCCGTGACTGCGTCCAGCGCTACCGTGAACACAGGAAGTTACCGGTGTTCTCGCACGATGAGCTCCTTGTCACCATCACACAGCAATCTCAGTCCATCAAAACTGCATTGTGGTAAGTTCCCGGTAGTCCTAAAAATGTTTTGCGGTCGCTGAGCTAAACCTGTTCAGGTTGTCTGCGAGTCTCCAGGAGATGACCGACCGCGAGATGACTAATCGCAGGCAGGCCCGGTCCCTTGGGCTGTCAGAAGTGCTCGATGAAGAAGACCGGCCCGAAGACCAGTATCAATGCATGATATGCAAAGTGTTCTGCTATCTCTCCCAAGTCACTTGTCATTGCAAGAGCGAGGTCGTTTGCGTCGACCATGTCGATCTGCTGTGCGACCATTCCCTGAGCCAGCTTGTCCTCAGGAAACGTTTTTCGGACTCCGACCTCCAGGAGACGTTAGCAGAGGTGGTTGAGCGCGCAAATGTTCCCGCTAGCTGGAGAGCCAAGCTCAATAAAGTTTTAATGGAGAGCCAGGTACCATCCATTCGCTCCCTTCGAAGCATCCTTGCCGAGGGAGAGCGCATCAACCATCATCTCCCTGAACTTGCGGCACTTCGCAAATGCGTCAACCGTGCTGGCGAATGGCTCGACGCTGCCAACACATTCATTATTCGCAAGCAGAGTCGCAAGCGGTCTCGACGTTCACGCGGACGCCCGCCCCTCCATGAAGCCAACAATGCCGCGTTTGACGATCGTGACCCAGGTGATAGGCCGGATCGTGGCCTAGATGACCTGTACGCATTGCTGGAGGAGGTCAAGACTCTCGGGTTCGACACTCCCGAAATTGGAGTCTTGCAGACGCTTGCTCAGCAGTCAGAGGAAGCCAAGCGCAAGGCTCGCGCTTTGCTGGATACTGCGGCTTCCGTCACCGATCGTAGCGCATACCTGGAGGAGTGCGAAAGGCTTCTCCTCGAGGGCTCGTCGCTGAACGTGCATCTTGACGAGATTCTTGAAGTTGAGAAGATCGTTTCACGAGAGCAACTCGTCAATGAACTTGAAGAGAAATCGGAGGACCACTTCGCGACGCTAGACGATATCCGGCGCCTTCTTACTCGCGCCCGTAGTTGCAACCTTCCCCTTGATAATCCGTCTATCAAGATACTAGAGTCCAGGCAACGCGCAGGAGATGACTGGGAAGAAAGGGCAAGGCATGTCCTTGATCAACCGTACAAGACGATTGAGGAGCTAGATGAATTTTTCGACATGGACTCCAATGTCCCCATTGACGTCACCATCTACGACCGAATAATGTCCGCTCGGAGCAAGGCGAAGGACTTCGAGAAGCAAGCCAAGGCCTGGATCGCACCTGAGCCCCAAGCCCCGAAGCCAAAGGTATCAGAGGTCATGCGTTTCGTAGGTCGCGCAGAGAAGGATTTTAACATCCCCGCCATCCGCGACTTGAAGCAAACCGCTGAGTTTGCAATGGATCTTGAAAGCCGCTGTGAAT